AGATAGCCCGCCTCGACTATGCCAGGACTTCTTCGACCCTGGCCAGACATATGTTCGCTCTCTCAAGCCGGCGTGGCACATCCTGAACCTGCTCATCACCCGCTCCATCGTCCCCAACGTCACCGGCTCGCACAAGATTCCGAAGCGGGTGCTCTATGCTATGTATTCGATGAGGGACCCGGAGCATATGCTGCACTTGGGTTCTTTCGTGGCCACCACCTTCTCCCGGTGCCACGGGAAGCCCAAGCATCTCTACTGTGGTCCCCTGATCACTCGTTTGGCGCGCCATTTCGGCATCAGCTTCCAGGGACTCCGTGATTCTTCTGCACAGGGCGGCTCCACCCCACTCAGCCGGGATGTGCTCCACAATGCACTCCTCCTGATCACTGATGGCACCCGCACTTGGGTCGATGGGCTTTCCCTGCCTCCCGAGGAGGTTGTTGATCTCGATGAAGATGAGGAGGATGCTGACTACTACGGTGAGGAGGAGGATGGGGATGATGATGATGATGACGGGGCCATGGATGCCGATGAGCCGGAGCCCCCGCTCTCTCCACTAGGGGACCTTCAGCCTCGACGGAGACCAGTGAGAGGCGAGTCTTCCTCTGGTCCTTCTGGTCCGTCGATGGCTTCTGGCCCGTCGATGGACTTCTTCACGGAGCAGTTCCAGCAGATGGGGCTCCAGTTCCAGCAGCTCGGTCTTCAAAACCAGCAGCTCATGGACCATCCGGTCCAGTTCTACCAGCAGTATTCGGCCCACCAGGCCGAGTACCAGTCCAGGTTGACGGTTGTTGACGAGCGCCTCGGCCGCTTGGAGACCCATATGGGAGTCACTAGTACTTTCATCGAGTGGGAGAGAGATCGAGGCCGCCGATTGATGGAGTACTCGGAGCACCTGCTCCAGGCTTGTCACCCTCCAGAGGAGCACCACTGGACCACCCGGTGGAATCATTCACCACCACACCCACCACCGGAGGATGGCGACGACGACCTTATGAACCAGATCGACTTCTCCGGTCTCGGAGGGCCCTAGGGGCATGTTTTGAGTGTTTTTGTCTTTGTCAGCATGCAAACTTTTGTGTCGGTTTAGTTTCTTTTTCTTTTCATTTTTGGATGCTGTACTATTGGGCTGACCATTGGACCTAACGTATTGTGTTTGAGCTCTTTGGTTCCTTTAGCTGTGCCTGTGTTCCCGACTGGTCCTCTCTCCAGTCCGTTTCATGCCGACTGGTCCATTTCCAGTCTCCTACAGCCCGTGCACACCGGTCACATCGTTCCCCTTTCCTTCCCTCTTCTCCATTGAGGGCAATGTCGATCTTAAGTGTGTGTGTGTGGGGGGGGATGTTTATTTATCTTTTGACTGCATTAGATCTGTTTGTGTGCTGGAGCCTAGTCCACTGTCCAAATTTTTAAAATTTGAGGGCTCCAAGTACGTGTTCCGTGCAATTACCTGCTCAGTATGCTTTGAATTGACAGTCTTTGTAGTAATGTGCAACCTAGGGAGGTAGTGTAGCACTATGGAGGATGTTGATGCATTTAAGAAGTCTCATTTCTTCTTCATATTGTGTTGGTTGATTGAGTGAATTAGTGATCTTAGGACTCTTGAATTGTGTGGTGTTGTGGACTCTCTACCTGTCATGGACTCTTGTATCATGTTTTGAAAATAACAGGTGCTCAAAAATGTGCTTTAAAATGACGTCTCCCGTGCGAATAGGGCGAAAGTGTGTAAGGGGAGACGGGAATCCGTTCCCAATTTCCACCTACTACCTCCAGCCCCCTTACATATCTTTCCCCCGCACGAGACTCGAGACACCCGCTCCTGGCATGGCCGGTAAGAGTCGGGCTCCCGCAAAACCTCTGCTAGGTGGGAGCCCCCGTTTTCCGAAAAGCAGGTTGGAACCCTTGAAAAAAAAAAACAGAAAAACAAGCAAAAAGAAGAAAGAAAAGGGGTTCCAACCATCTTCGAGAAGAAAATAGAGCACCTTGAAAAATGTGAGTCCATGATCTTTTGTTTTTGAGAGTCTCTTCATCCACGATTCATTTGTCCTCTGTTCACTATTTGCCATGATGCCGACTCGAGACTAGTGCTCTCGCCGAAGAAGCTATGAGATGACTTGTGCGTCGGTTGACCTCGTAAGCTGCTAAATAATCTAGGAAGTCCTCTACCTACGATCGAGGTTGTTTGTTGCTATAGAGGTCTGGAGAGTTGCATTGGTTTGAGTTAGGTTTGCTTGGGGACAAGCAAACGGTTAAGTGTGGGGGAGTTTGATAGACCGATAATTACACATGTTTTCACCCCTATTCTGAAGCCGTTTGAGATGTTGATTCTCGTGTTTCAAGCCGATTTCACGCTAGGTTTTGTGTTTGTCATATTTCAGGACCCGGCGTTGGAATCGAGGCGGAGAAACGAGTTATGGGTCGAAAGGAGCAAGGTTGGGACGAAGTGGGCTGCAGGAGGAAAATACCCGGTCAGGTGGCCAAATACCCGACCGGGTATTTATCATTTTGGGCGCCCGTGAGAAACAGAGAGGGGCCCGGGCGTGAAGCTAAAATCCCCGGTCGGGGATTATTGGACATGACCGGGGATTTTTCCCTTACCCAAAACGCGCGTTTTAATAATACCCGGTCGAGACCCAAAATACCCGACCGGGTATTTCGACCGGGTGTCGCTACAGACAGCAGTTTTAAGGAAAAAGAGGGCTGCAAATCAAAGGTTCCGAGTTTTAGAGAGACAGAGCGATTCCTAGAGAGAGAAAGCGACGAACCAGAGTTCCCAAGTGCCATAGCTTGATCTTCATCACCATTGGAGCCCGGCTTGAGCTTGGAGAAGTGCCGATTGTCAACCAGGAGCAGAAATCCATCCTTCACAGTATGATTTCCGCGTCTGAATATGTTTTTGCTTCTCTCTCCATGGAGTAGTTTCCCCATTCATCTGGGTATGGGGAACCCTAGATTTGTATGTTAGGTTTGATTGTATGAACCCAAGTACAGAGTTTATGAATTGATTATATTCGATTGAGGCTTGAATGATTGAATGACTTGAATCCTGATCAAATTCCTGTTGTTTCTGCTTTGACCTAGAATGAGAATATCTGCCTAGGTTGATAGAGTATCCTTAATTGAAGGTAGTGAATTGGCGACTTTAGTCGAGGAGCCTATTCGCTATTCTGTACCGAATTCAATTCGGTAGTGGAGGTTTAATTCGTTAGGGCCTCAATCTGTTTACTCCGGTGGAGGTTAGTCGCCCGCTAGAGACTCAGATTGAGAGGGTCTGGAGACCTTTGGTCGAGACTTCAGACTGTTTAAGAACCTTCCGCAGTATAATTTTCATGAAAACTGAACTTGGTAAATTGCAATTCGGCTTAACTGCAGTCTAGGGGGAACCATATCCGGGTGACCCTCTCGACTTGAAAACAACCGTTTAACTTGCTTTGTGTTTTGTTTGTTCGAACCTGCACTAAAGTTTCACTGCTAGATAACAAGAATTCACCGAGTAGTCATCAAATCTAGGACCCGGGTTGACATTAAAACCCAAACCCGCTATACTACGGTTTAGGAAGTGGTTACACTTGGCCATTTTCTAGAGTGACAGTAGATAGGACTAAGTCCCTCCCACAAAACAAAACCCCTAATTATGCAATCCCTTTTACTTTAAAAACATGAAACTATTTTGTCCCTCCACTATTTGTTTAAGAGGAATTTTACAATGTTTTAAAGTATTGGTGTTTTTGTTTTATTTTTATAGTACAATTTGAAGTTGTATTTTTAACATTATAATACAATATTGGTTGTACCTATACTATTTTGTAAAATCCCTTATAGTACAAACTAAAGTTGCACTTTACGTTATGGTACAAAGTTGTACCACAACATAAATGTCAAATTCCCTTACGGTACAACTTCAATTTGTACTTTAAAACACCAATACTTTAAAGCATAGTAATAGTGTTCTTTGATTAAACAAACCAATAACCCCTTTTTCCTTGTCACAATCACAGTTGACTGTTTGTTACGGCACTACCTAGCGGCCAATTAACGAGCTCCATGTATACCTAACTTCTCAGCTTTCTCCAATTGGTAATGGGTTACTTTTATTATTTGTTAGTTTAAACTTCTAGCGTAATTTTAATTAGTTTAAACTTCTATACGCCCGTGTTCACACTTGTTAATAATTTTTAATTAGTTATAATTAAGTAAATAATAAAGAATTATTAAAATTACAAGCATACCTATAAATTTATTTCAGAATACTATTTAGTCCCAAATAATATTTTGCCATCTTTTAGCTTAAATCAATCATGTAAATTTTCAATTTAACATTTATAGTACCTTATTTTTGCTATTCATAATTTATAACACCCAAATTTTGTCAACAATAAATAGTGCAATTATTTTTGTTTCATCTTTCAAAATGCATAACTAAAATATTGAATGTCACCAACCTTTTATTCATTTCCTTTTCTGAAAAGATCCCACAAACCATTTCACCTCCTTACTCTTGTCCTTTCGTGTCCATGCTCCTCCATTCTCAGCAAACTCCATCCCCTATCCCCTATCACCTTCAGATCTCTGATTCGGCCGAAGTCTTCTAATCGTCGTTGGCCTCTCCTATTCCCCTCAAAGAATGACTTTGTCGATGCAATTGTAGGAAATGAGCATTTATGGAGGAGGGAAAGCGAGGTTTGGGATCTGTAGGTGGAAGAAGAAGAAGAAGCAGAAGAGATTGATAAGGCGACGGTGGGCTGCGATGATGGTGATGATCGGCAGCTTGGAGTTTGGGAGAAGTGAGGGACTTCAATTAAATGCCCCTGGTTTTTTTCCCCAAGGCCAAAACCCACATCGCACATACATCCGCATCAGAAGCGAGGGACTTGAATTAAACGCCATCTGCTATCCCGATTTCCTATCAAGCCGATTATCTCTCTAAACTTAGGGTTTCTTAGCTTGATTTTTCGAAGGTAAGGAAGCCCTGCAAGGGGAGGCGGTGCAGCGGATGATTTATGAGATTGACGGGAGTTGCGGGTCGTGCTACGGCAATCGAGCGGGAGTCGAGAGTTCTTTTCTACCATACACTGTGTAAAAGGTAACATAAGCAGTCGTTGTATAGGAAAGGATTGATGATAATTCACAGGTTTCGGTAGATGCATGTGTTAAGAACTGTTACTCGTCACTTATGGGTCACATAGCGCTAAACTTTAAGCATTTCCAGGTTAATGATTTCTTGTCAACCTTCTCCATTCTCCCTCCAATGCCTTCCAAACCTCAATCCCCTTTCCCATGACTCCAAACACACAGTAAAGATACATGAGCTAGCAAGTTATTTTCTCTTGTTGTCTGACCTTGTTCAATTTTCTTATTTGTTCTTACTGCAGGTCACAGACACGACACTCCTGGTCTAGTGAAGAGCCGACGGTATGGGATTTGTGTATTCATGTTGTAGTTATTGATTCGTTTAATATGCAAATCCTTTTACTATGATGGATCAAACGTGACGAATATCTGGTGTTGTTAATAAATTGCCTAATAAATCCACGGATTATTATATGGGGTGTGACAGGCCTTGGTTTTATTATGATGCTTTTCAAGATTGTTTTACAGGTGCCCAATGTTGTTTTCTTGCTGTCACTATTTGGAAACTAGAACCATGCCATCTGGACTCTGCAATTTTTGCATAGAATGTGTCTTATTTTGGGCCTAGGTTTTGGTTCCTCTCTCTGATAGTAAAAGCTATCATACATGCTTCAGATGCTTTTACCCTACTTACCAGGACAACTGGACAAGATAAAACCACGTTATGGTGTTTTCCTATAGAATCTGTCGGTTGGAGAAGATGGTATTACGAAAATATGCAATTTAGATCAACCCCTCACAGTTAATAGTTTGCAAACACTTCTTGATTGCCTATACATCACTGATCATGGTAGGAGTGTGGTTATGATTCTGCTTACCAGATCTTATCTTCTTCTTGGAACCCTGTAGAGGACAGGAACAATTTGGAGAAACTTAATCTTGCTGTTTTTCTCATCTTCCAACCGCCATTCTTGATGATCATGATCTTACAGGGGAATGTGGGACCTCACCCTCTGATCAGGTAACATGTGTGTAAAGATAATTTAGTAAAGATCCAGACAAGCACTTCAGCAAATCAGTATTGGTCTTCTGGCTATTCCATTGCCTTCCCTGTGGCCTTTTAAATTAGGCATAAGAGATTCTCAACTATGTGCGGGTTTGTCTGGGTGTCTATTTTATGGTTGGTTAATTGACATTTTGCTAGGCTGTGTGCTCTTGCTCTAACTGACCTGACTCTAAAACTCCTTTTCGTATGGTTGTTGATAACTTGTTTTATGCATAGGTGAGAGGGTGGATATATGTAGGTAGATGCCTAGATGGGAGCATATTAAATGGCATCAACACAGACCGAGGTAGCTATCCGTATTTTGGTCTAATTGATAGGACTGTGCATCTAGGCATGGTTTTGGGTCTTAGGAATTTGTTCTGATTTGGCCTGAAGCCATTTCTTTTAGCCTTAAGAGTCAGATTTGAGAAGTAAAGAGACTTGGTCTCAGAAACCTTGTGCTTCCATTCGACCGTAAATCCTTGTTAAACCTTCTTTCCTAAAATTTGGTCTGTCTTCAGTGTTGATCCATAAATAAACTGAAGCAACACATGTACCTTGTGTTTCATACAACTTGTTTGCGTGGTTGGGGTTTTTTTTCTTTTCCTTACTGTAGCTCCCTGCACTTTTCACTCCAGGAAAGAATTGATTAAGTATTTCAGTTTATATATCGCAATTGTGGGGATTTGAGACTTAATAAAATAAGGGACTTTGATTCCCACCCACGATTTTTATAAGAAGTATTTACCTTCTAGGAAGCTTATTAGTTTATTTCATTTTAATTCTAATAAATACAAATCACAACAAAAAGATTTTGTAACAGTCTCCTTCCTTCATCACAACTCTAAACACGTTTTTTCTATATAAGCTACTCATCGAGTGGAATAATCTTCGTATTTTCGAGAAGAAAACAAACGAAGGAAGATCAGTGTCATGGAAGGGTTAGTTTGAGTTGTTTCCGATGCCTTTGTTCCTGAGTCTTATGGCCCTTGCTGAAGCTTCGTTTTTTAATGTTCTTTTCAGGTTAGACAAGACAGCGGCCGAATCAAATGAGGTAAAGTTTCGAAATTCGTACAATGTTCAACATTCCTTTATTTTGTTATTTTTATTTGAGGTATTGAGGTACCTAAATGCCTGGGTTTTGTTAGGCAGATCAGGAGCCTGCATTCGTTTATGACTTGGAAAAGGTCAGCTATCTATGAAAAGTGAGTTGAAGGATGATATTAACGACCTGAGGACAACAGTGCAGTCGTTTAGGGACCTGTGATTGGGAGGTTCGGTGGGAACACTGAAAATGGAAGAAAGGAGAAGAATGACGATAAAGTAGAAGTTGTGAACTTAAGCTCGGATAGCTCGTTTCCTTGGCAACAAGGAGAAACATGAGATGAAAAGCACAGTCAGCAGGAGAAAGGTACACCTAGTCACACTTTTATTTTTTGTGTTTATGTGATATCAATATTTTAAGACATGTTAAATGATAGGGGAAAGCGGTTAGAAAGTCTCCAATTAGGTTGCGGAGTCCTATTTGGACCCGGAAAGATCCGAGAGGACTAATGCCAAAATAAAGGTGATCGGCCCCTTCATCACTACAAAGTCCCTATCAAAAAGGGATCAGTGGTTGATCAACCACGTTTTTTATCCATTCAAGGATGAAAGGTATTAAAAAAACTGTGTTACATTGTTATTAATTGAGCATAAGTCATTTTCTGCAAGTTAAAGGCACTCATGAATGATTTGTATTGTCTGTTGTTGGTTGTAGTGAGGCGCTGGTTAGATCTCCATGGTTTCATCTAACCCGTGGAGAGTTTAAGGTATTAGTGCCGGAAATACCATTGTCTACCCAGGTTCGTATACAACTTATCTTGAATTTATAAATGGCTTGGTAAAGGAGCAAAGTTCTGTAACGTGACATGGTTTTGATTTGTTTATTTGTGTAGGTGATCACTATGTGCGTGACTTGTTAACGGTGCCGGAGTTGAAACATGAAAAACCTGTGAATTGGTTCTTACCACCGGCATTTGCTGTAAGTTCATAAGTTGTATTTGGTATTATTTTGCATATCTTTAAAAGTAGTAATTGGACATATTTCATACTGTACTCTATGCTAAAAGTTATGTTTGGTTATAAGTGTCTTCATTATGAATGATTGTATAGGGTTGTTAACATCTGTCGCGGATACAAAATTTTCCAGCATCTACTTTAGAAATAAAATTGTGGAGAAGGGTATTTACGATAAAGTAGAAAAGCTCGGCTAGTCACTTAAATTTGTTGTCTGTCATTAAAAAAACTTGAACTTTAGGCCATAATTTTTGTGCTGTTATTTTTCCGTGTGCATTTCTTGTCATGAGTCGAACTTGATATTGGAATCAGATATGTTGTCATTCTTGTGATGAATTATGGATTGAAAAGTTCTAGCTCCACCCAATCCTAGATGTGTTTCCCATTTTTCTTGAAATTCCAGAAACCAAATTTTGGGTTTCCTTTGAAACGGTTGTATGGCTGCTTCCGTGCAATAAACTCCTCATACCACACTAGTGTATTTTCAGCACTTCTGTTCGAGAGGTGACATTGACATGATGAACCTGACTGGTTAGCACGTAAAAATTGGAACCTTATCTAGGTATCCATAAAAAGTGAATCGATTGTGTAACTATTACGATATAATACGACTATACTTGTATGTGGCCTGTGCAACCGGAGATCGCGTTTTTCTTACCCTGAGAAAAGATTAAAACAGTGTACTGCTCGGGGACTTCAATGATTGTGAGAAGGTAACTGTTGCAAATGCTGGAACCTCTAAGAATTCCGTGATTGATAGAATTTTTGTTGAGGTTTAAGTAATGTGTGTACATGTCAGATTTTTGTCCCCGTGCTGCTGGGTAGCCACTTCTTTCTTTGTGTTTTTTACCTTAAGAAAGAGGCGATTGAAATATGGGACTCACTTCCTAACTGTGTCGATCCAATTCAGAGGGGAGAAAAGTGTCACTGATTGTAAGTCATGTTGGGCATCTAAAAGGCTATGTTATCTATTCAATTTGTATATATGCTGACATATTATGTACTTGCTGTAGGCGAAGGAACTCGACTCGATCTTATTGGAAGCAGTCTTGAGGAGATTCGAAGCCAAGATGTTTTGCACTTTCACCATCGTAGAGGTGGTTAATGCCCCGCGGCAAGAGAATGGGTATGTTTATCTGTCTGGTTTCACATTACTTGGTTGGTTTGTAATAAGCTATTTGATTCATTTTCGGTTTATGTAACACCCTACCCTATACGTATTACCTAATCATATTGTTCATACAATTGCAGCGGAATATAATCTCGGGTGTTACATTAATTATCAAAATTTACCCAAAAAAATTTCGACATGAGTACTCGCGTAATGGGCTAACAGTTCTTCCATCTAATCCTGCAAAATAATTCATCTAAATCCATGCATTCATAGATAAACATATACACTCACTGCCATATGCATTGGCTTTTCATAGCCATAGTCACAGTTTCATGTTACACAACTGCATACTATACTGATACATGCCATAATCGTCACAACTTAATAATTACACAAATATACACATATCATCAACTTTCCACAACTGTGGATATCTCACACTACATCAGAAGCTAGTATGCACATGAAAAACGTTCTCAAAACATTTTACAAAAAGGTGTGGATCACTGGCCAAAATCCCGAGTAGTAGTCCAAACACAGAATAGTTGAAGACCATACCTCATTTTGTCTTCAACTCTTGCTAAGCTCCCACCTAACACTTATCTATTGCTGCTGCTGATGATCTGCTTACACATAGCATAAGCAGAGAAGAAGAATAAAAGAGGGTCAGCTCATAGCTGAGTGAGACAATCATTGCATCGTGAGTTCATAACAAAGCATACCCCTACCATACATCTAGAAATCAAGCCAAAACACTAGGATCGGACCTCAGCCATCCTCATATCCCAATAGGCAAAAGACTCAACCACCTTGACTTATGCATATGCATCTTATCATGTTTTAATCATAGGCGCCTGGCTACTCCCATGCTATTAACTCTCCCGGGAAACATACCCCACATCCCGTCGGATGTAGTCATACATACCCCAACATCCCGTCGGATGTGGTCATACATACCCCACACCACTATGGGTGTAGTCATACCCCGACACCGCTCTGGGTGTGGTCATATCTCGTAAGAAATCTTCAGTCACCACCACATGAGAGGTGTGACTATCATACATATCATAATAGAGTAATAGCATAGGGAGCCCTAATTACTATGTAGTTGACCATGAGACCACAACACTCAGTCCTAGCTCCACTAATTCACAAAATCAACTGGCACAGCAAAGAGCTAGATAGGAAAAATCTTATACTTCAACAGCCTCCATAGTGCTACACTACCTCCCTAGGTTGCACATTACTATAGAGACTGTCAATTCAAAGCATACTGAGCAGGCAATTTGCAAGGAAACACGTACTTGGAGCCCTCAAATTTAAAATTTGGACAGTGGACTAGGCTCCAAGCACACAAACAGCCAAACATTCACCCGCATACATAATCGAACACCCCCCACACTTAAGCACGACATTGTCCTCAATGGAGGAAAGATAAGGAGGGTAGAACGAAGTTACCAGATCAAGGGTGAATGATGATGGACGGGGCAGGGGTGCATTCCAGGAAGAGAGAGTAATCAGAACACAAACACCACACAAAATCTCACAAAGGTTGAGTTATTGACTCTAAAATCAAAAACAAAACTGACTCAACCGAGGATAAATAGAGAAAGAAATGCAAACCGACTGGTTGGGTTGCCTCCCAACAAGCGCTTCTTTCACGTCGTGAGCCGGACGATGGCTCCTAAGTTTCGGTCCATGCTAGAACCTCCTTGAAGTTGAGGTTCTCGTCGATGAGGTGGAGTCTCAAGTCACGAGCATGTGGTGTGGCAGGTGATGAAGGCTCGTGTACTTGATGCAGATGAAGTCTCCACCCTCGAGACCTCTTCTTCTCTTCTCTCGTCTCATTGCCCCAAACCAGATAAGACAGCATCGATTGGCCACCATCGCGTCCACCAAGAGGGACCGATGTCGATGTGGCCTTGGTCTGGCAAAGAGACACTGCAAATGGGTCCTTGCCAAGCAGCTCCTCGAAGTTTGGTGGAGATATCACATGTAACTCATGGCCGGTGCAAGCCTCTTCCACCTCAACTTCGTCCTCAGCCTGGACGCCAATTGCTTCTTCAACCTCCCTTTCTTCTTCATGTGGTATCACCCCTGGGAAATGATCAAGAACTCTCCTGCTTCACTTTCGTCATCCTCCACAACCTCTTTCTGCACCCTTTCTTGCTCTTCTTCTTCTAGCACGGATTGGAGAGCAAGTTGCCAAGCAATTTCTTTCATGAGATCTTCTTGCATCTCCTCACTCATGCCCACCTCTTCAAAGCTCAGTGTGGGTGGGGAAAGGGTGGTCGGCTACGACAGGACATTCCTGATCATGATCATCCGGGAGCTCTCCGTGACAACTTCTGTGTGCTCCACAATGTCCTTGTAGCCTTCTTCTTCCTCCTCCTCTTCTTGTATGGTAGCAGAAGGGTGATCTTGAGCAAGTTGTGCACAAACTTGCTCAACCCACTCTGTTTGCTTCGCTGAGCGTTGAACAGCCTCCTCCATATCACGGAGATATGAGGGATCGGAAGAGGGAAGGGCTTGGATTTGATGATCCATCCTGGAGCATATTCTCTCAGAGGCTCGAGTAAACTGCTCCAGGAGTAACTCCAGCTCCGATGGCCCTTCTGGTTGTGGGAGAAATTCTTCTTGATAATGAGGTTGTTCTTGATATGCCCAGGGGTCCGGTTGTTCTCCGTAGTAAGGGGGTTGGTACTGGAACCGAATCCATAGTCTTCTCCTCCTTGATTGCTCCAGGGGTCTCGGGGTAATACCACTCGGGTGGTGGTGGATACCCCCAATGTTGGAGAAGCCATGAGGATCCATGATTCAATCTGCACCAACAAAAACAAAAACACCCAAGTGAAAAGCAAGGGTGGAAAAGAAAAGAAAAACGCTAAAGTAACAAACTTCTGCCTTTCCTAATACTCTAGAAAGTCCCCGGCAACGGCGCCAAAAACTTGACTCGCTAAAACACAACTCCTAACATGGCCAAGTGTAACCAATGAAAGGGACTGCAGTATAGTGGCTCAAGTAATAAATATCGAACCACGGGTCTCTAGAGTTACTATTACTCAGCTTCAGTTCATTATCTAGCAAACCAGATTAAGATAGAAGAACTAAAACTACTCTAGCAAACTACAGTTAAAGTTAATCTAATTACAGGTTGGGAACTCACTTAGGTATGATTCCCCCTAGCCACTAGCCAGATTAACGATTGATGATCTCTAACTGTTTCACTTTCATTCACAATGCGGAGAATCCTTAACTAGACCTTGAGTCTCGACTAAAGGAACAAGGCCCTCTTGAGTCAATTGCCTAGAGGGACGTATCCTTCTCTAGAACAACTGATCAAGGCGTTCTGAACTAGATTCCCTCTATTGAATGAGGTTCTCAATCGATACAAAGCAGTGAATCAACCCTCGACGAAAGCAATCGATCCACTACTATCAATCTATGGTGCTCTATTGACCTAATCAGGTATTCGCTCTCATAGGATCAAAGCAGAATCAATAATCTCGACTAAAGCAGAATTGAATCGTGAAAACATGGCTAGGGTTCCTCAAAACCTAAGTGAAGGGAAGTTACTCCATAGAGAAGAGAGAGACTGCAGTAAGAATCTTCAGATGATCAGTCTTCAAGTCCGGGCTTGATTCCCGAGCTCCAATGGCGAAGAAATCCTCC